GAATAAATAACAAATAACGGTGGTATGTCAGTGATACAGAAGCTATGGAAATAGTGGAAATACTGTAGGAGAGAAGAGTAAGAAAGGGTGTCAGGAAGGTATGGGATTAAGAGTGTTGAATATTAAATGAGAGAGATTAGGGAATGCAGGCCTTAGAGAAAGAGCAGTTGAGGAAACACCTAAAAAAAACAGAAGAGATTTTTAAAAATTAAAATTTAAGTATTTATGTAATCTCTGCATATTTATATTCAGAGATGAAGATATGTAATTTGAGTTAAAGAAACTAGAACTGTAGATTCTACAGCCATTTTAATTAAAAAGTAGAGGGTTGCCCTTCTTCCCTAGAAAAGATTTATATATACCAGAGAGGTATGTCCTAAAGTTTATGAAAATATAGACATTAACAAGATGGAGAGCATTCTGGAATCTGGAGTGTTTCCTCAAGTATTTTTGTAACATCCTTTCTACCTACCTACCTACGAGATAGGATCTTGCTATGTTGCTCAGGCTGTTCTTGAACTCCAATGCTAAAGCAGTCCTCCCACTTTAGACTGCCAAGTAGCTGAGACTATAGTTGCATGCCACCATGACTGGCTAACTCGAGCTTTTATTATTATTTTTTAAAATCAGCAATAAATTATATAGTTCTTAGTAGGAAAATAAGAATTTTTTTTTTTTTTTTTTTTTGAGACAGTCTCATTATGCTGCCCTCGGTAGAGTGCCTTGGTGTCACAGCTTACAGCAACCTCAAACTCTTGGGCTTAAATGATTCTCTTGCCTCAGCCTCCCAAGTAGCTGGGACTACAGAAGCCCTCCACAATGCCCAGCTATTTTTTGGTTGCAGTTGTCATTGTTGTTTAGCAGACCTGGGCTGGGCTCGAACCCACCAGCCCCAGTGGATGTGGCTGGCACTGTAAACGTTGAGCTATGGGCGCTGAGCCAAGAAAATTATCATTTGAATTTCTGATAACATCACTAATTATTACTTAGTGGACACCTCTTATAAACCAGGCACTTCATTTAAATCAGTTATTTGTAACTTTCTTTGGGTATAAATTCCTCTAAAGTCTATAGACCCAAATAATGGTTCCTGACCTCAAAAAATTTAACCAGTATAGTTATTTACACAATACTTAGGGGTTCGCAGGATAAAAATATTGGCTTTGGATACTTTCATCGGGTTAGTTTAGTTTTGTTTTTCTTACCTGTTTAAGGAGAGCCAACACAAAAAGTGGGAAAAGCCGCAAAGAAAAAGGAACCAAGAGTCCAGGCTGCTGATTACTTAGGACTGAAGAACGGTAAGCTGAAAGAGAGTCGATGACAGCATTCACTAAAGCATCTCGAGCGTCACTCAGGCTGGCTGTCATAGACCTGTCAACAGCTAATAGAAGTGAGGGTAGGGACAGAAGAGAAACAAGACAGAAGCTTAGTTATTCCATTGTTAAGGAGAGAAGAGATAATTTTTAAAAACTACTAAGTCCTTGCTCCAATTTATTCATATACAATGAGATAAAACACATAGCTGTTAAAAGCATGCTCTGAAGAAAAAAAAAACTAATTTATACCTTTTATATGTAAGCTATAACCTAATAACAGCCTAAGAATACGGGAAGGGGGAGGGAGATGGGAGGGGGAAATGGGTGGAGGGAGGGGGATTGGAGGGATCACTTCTGAGGTTTATCTTACAAGGGTACAAGTGAATCTTTCTAAGAGCAGAATATAAACGTTTTAAAATAGTAACTAGGAAAATGACACGAAGGCTATGTTAACCAGTTTGATGGAAGTTTTTCGGATTGTGTGTGAAAACCCCACACATAGTTACCATTCAATAAAAAAAAAAAAAAAGCATGCTCTGAAGAAATGAGCCAACCTCTTCTCCCAAGCTTCAGTTTCCTCATTTGAAAAATGAGAAAGCTGGCCCAATGCATTATGCCTGTAATCCTAGCACTGTGGGAGACCAAGGTGGGTGGATAGCTTGAGCTCACAGCTTCGAGACCAGCCTGAGCAAAAAGGGAGACCCCATCTCTACTAAAAATATAAAAACTGAGGCAAGAGGATCAGTTGAGCCCAAGAGTTGGAGATTGTTAAGCTATGACGCCAAGGACTCTATCCAGGGCAACAGCTTGAGACTCAGTCTTAAGGAAAAAAAAAAAGAAATTAAAAGAAAAATGAGGAAGCTATGTTCTTTTTTTTTAGACGGAGCCTCAAGCTATCCCCCTGGGTAGAGTGCCCTGGCATCACAGCTCACAGCAACCTCCAACTCCTGGACTCAAGCAAGTCTCCTGCTTCAGCCTCCCAAGTAGCTGGGACTACAGGCACCCGCTACAACGCCTGGCCATTTTTTGGTTGCAGCCATCCTTGTTGTTTGGCGGGCCTGGGCTGGGGATTCGAACCCGCCACCTTAGGTGTATGTGGTTGGCACCTTAGCCGCTTGAGCCACAGGCACCGAGCCGCTATGTTCTATTAAATCAAAGATGTTAATGATTTAATAGTACACTATTTTATTTATATACCACTGAAAAAGAAAAAACACTGCATATATAAATGCTTTTCTAGGTTTGGCGCCTCTAGCTCAGCAGTTACAGTGCCAACCACATACACTGGGGCTGGCGAGTTCAAACCCAGCCCGGGGCTACCAGACAACAATGACAACAGCAACCAAAAAATGGTCGGGCGTTTGGCGCACACCTATGGTCCCAGCTACTTGGGAGGTGGGGCGGGAGAATCTCTTGAGCCCAAGAATTTGAGATTGCTGTGAGCCGTGATGCCACTGTACTCTACCAAGAGCAACATGGTGCAACTGTCTAAAAAAAAAAAAAAAAAAAAGTTTTTCTATCACAGAGAGTTTTTATTTTATACTTATGGAAAGAGCTCTTAGACAGTTATTTATTTTTTTGTTTTATTTATTTATTTATTTATTTTAGACAGAGCCTCAAGCTGTCACCCTGGGTAGAGTACTGTGGCATCACAGCTCACAGCAACCTCCAACTCCTGGACTCAAGCAAGTCTCCTGCCTCAGCCTCCCAAGTAGCTGGGACCATAGGCACCCACCCCAACACCCGGCTATTTTGTGGTTGCAGCCATCAGTCTTGTTTGGCGGGTCCGGGCTAGATTCAAACTCGCCACCTTAGGTGTATGTGGCTGGAGCCTTAGCCACTTGAGCCACAGGCACCGAGCCTATTTTGTTTTTTGAGACAAAGTCTCACTCTGTCACCATGGGTAGAGTACCACAGTGTCATCACAGCTCACAGCAACCTCAAACTCTTGGGCGAGACTATAGATACCTGCCACAATGCCCAGCTAGTTTCTTCTATTTTCAGTAGAGATGGGGCCTTGCTTTTGCTCAGGCTGGTCTTGAACTCCTGAGCATAAGCAATCCACCCACCTTAGTCTCCCAAAGTGCTAGAATTACAGGCATGAGCTACTACACCTGGCCCACTTTGAGTGTTATGTAGATAGATTTTCTTTCTTTCTTTTTTTTTTTTTTTTTT